CTTTGGATGAGTTCTACGAAAAGAACTTCCCCGACTTCGTCGCCCTTCGTACAAAGATGCAGGAAATTCTGCAAGAGGAGAAAGACCTGTCTGAGATCGTACAGCTTGTTGGCAAGGCAAGAAGCCCTGGACAAATCCCCCTCTCTCTATTTTCTTCCCTCTCTAATAGATTTTGGACATTGCTTAATCTACTTTAACTACCTCTTGGTTGCAGGCCTCTTTGGCTGAAAGCGACAAAATCACTCTGGAGGTAGCGCGTCTCATCAAGGACGATTTTCTGCAGCAAAACGGCTACTCTGATTATGACAGGTGAGTTCATTTGCTGCTTTACCCTGCCTTTGTTATTGAGGCGGAGATGTCTTTTAGCTCACTGTAGCAAACATTTTCGGTGAAAATGTACGATTCCAGACAAATTTGCCCGGAGTATACATCTAACATGAGCACAATCAACTCATAAACTTAAGGCTATCATCGCATTAATGCACTCAGCCGTTTTTGCATTTCGAAATCTACATACCGCAGAAAGCTGGGGGAGGAGAGAATACCGGGTCTCCAGAAGGCAGTGAAGCGAACTTGTCTTTTTGAATTCGACTAGCAGACTATTAAATTGTTTCAGTTTGTCGTACAATGATGATTTCGGCTTATAAGAAAAAAAGGGTAGCATTATTGGAAGAAAAGGGCATAGATAAATCCCTTCAGCATCTAAGGAGACCGTTTTTAAAAATCGACTTACTTCAGCTGAATTCACCACTGTCTATTCTTCCACAATAAACCAGAGATCTGGCATTAAGCCATCAAAGCAGAAGCTTTTTACTACGGACTATTCTCGGTTTCGATATTGTAGGGCTACTAGCTAAAAATGCCCGGCTGTGTTGCATACAGCGAAGTCTAACCTTCTTTGGGGGTGCCGCAGTTTCATCGAATGCGCGAGAAAGTGATCGTGCAGAGACCTTCCTCAATACCCTCGCGTTTGCCGCATTTAAATAAGGGTCAAACTGCATTCTAGGGCCGCCTAAATACCTATTCCCCCGCCCAACTGTCTTACTGAATTGGTGATTAAACATTTAATTCTTGGTTAACGAGTGTAAACGGATATTTAATTATGTTGGAAGTGATCAAATACTATTAAATTAAAGCCACGTATAATTGTTTTAGTGTGCTAAATATAATTAACTCCATCAGCGTATACTCCTGTTGCTCAGGCTACTACTGATGCCTTTTGATGGAAAGTTGACCTTATGTTGGCGGAATTCAACAAAAAAGGCAACGTCGGGCTACTGAAAATGTAAAAGTAATTCATTATTGTAAATCAAAGGCAAATAGGACCTCTGAAGACAGTCCTACCCAAAACTTCATGCATGTAAAAACACTTTACCCCTCTGAATTAATCCCCAGCGGTCAACAATTCTAGCCTTTCCAGCTGTTATGGGCCGGCTTAAGTGCGAGTGCACGCCAGACCACCGGTCCGCCCACACAAAATTCACGTGACGACGCGCGCGGCTGCGGCCAAGCTCAAGACTCTAACTCGCCAACTGCATGAGTCACAAATCCAATTAAGTCGCCCCTTAGTTGAGACCACAATCCCATTGGTCCAATCTTGTACACGCGTTCGCTTGCCTTAAATTATGCTGTACTAGGTTTGTTCAAAGACTGCTACTTTTGCGTTCTTTCTTGGGGGCTCCCACAAGGCGTAACGTAGACGGCGATATCGCAGTTTTGGCCAAATTCACAACACTAGCTCACACTTCTTACTATTTGTTCGCCTCGTACGCTGTCTGTCTGTCTGAGCAGTGTTCACTCTCTCTCTCTCGAGATCTGGCTGACCCGCTGTGTCTCTTGCCTCTCTCTCTCTTTCAGATTCTGCCCCTTCTACAAGTCCGTCGGCATGATGCGCAACATAATCAGCTTTTACGATCAGGCACGACACATTGTGGAGGCCACAGCACAAGCACCCAACCGTGTCACCTGGGCGGTCATTCG